AATGCATTGAAATCGCACATTTTCACCATTCCGGACCCGTATCTCAGTTATGCATGGATGGATTTTGTTCAAATTTGGTACATACATTAAACATAATAGGACCTTGATGCACGTCTTTTTTTTTTTGGATCAAGTTCAAAATGGCCGACTGGCGGCCATTTTGTTAAAGAATTCAGTTCTGGATCCGTATCCAAGACATGTCTGGATTGATCAAGTTCAAACTTCACACACACATGGTACATCATGTCACAAATAGATATGTGCATTTGTTTCATGATCTGCTTAACAATAGCGGAATGATGGCCATTTTAAGGCCGAAAATGCATCAAAATCACGTATTTTCACAATTCCAGAACCGGATCTCAGTCATGCATGGATGGATTTTGTTCAGATTTAGCACAATGTGTTGTACATATGCAGGTGCATTTCGGTCATGATCTGCTTTGAATGTATATGTCACTCAAATATGAACGGAACGGGGACGTGTCATTGACAATGACTTGTTACTGCTTTCCATAATCAGAGGCCAAGACCCTGAACAAAGGAACCGCCCAACTGGGATTTGTTGTGTTGTTTGCTCTAAGCAGACCGCCCTTTGTGCCTCTCTGATCACGTGGAAAACTGTCTTCCTACTGGCCCTCGCCTCAGATAGGCGTCGATCAGAACTGGGGGCATTGTCCTTCTCGAACGAGTGTGCCGTCCTTATGGACAATCAAGTTGTGCTAAAGACACAAATCGGGTTTCACGGCAAGAACCAAATCGCAGGACATGATCCTCAGCCGATTGTCATCCCCCGGCTGTCAAATATTGTTGACCCGGAGGATCAGGAGGAATTGTTTCTCTGCCTGGTTTGAGTTGCTACCAAACCATAGTTGGGATTTTTGGGTTATGGCCCAGGCAGGCAGGATAGGCCGGCCTCCCCGTCTTCCATCGCCAGGTGAATTACTGTGACTGTATTAGAGGTCTATAATACTTCAACTTCCTACCTAAGAGACACCAAATCTATAAGTTGGGTCACGTCGTAGCCAGTCAGATTCTGGTTGCTGACCTAGCCCGAATGACCACAAGGGTCCCTGCGCATAGGCAATAAGTCGGTCTCAGCATTTTTGCGGACAGATTTCTCTACTGTCAGCACTCCTTGGAAGTTTCCAGGTCTCGCTTTTCGACCTATGGCCTCATGCAGAACTGTTTTGGTCTTTATTTCGAAAGCATACTACCCCCTCAATTGGGTTTGGGTCGAGCTTTCTCGGGCACAACGAACCCTGTCACCGTAGCAGCATTTTTGGCTTTTTGCTCCGGGGACAATCACGTGGTTCGTGACGTAAGGGAAAACAATCTTGGGGTCTACATCATGGGGCTTCCCCTGACCTAGATTTTATCTCTCCGTCATTGTCAGAATCACTGATTAATGCCTACAGTTCAAAATAGTTATTTTGACTGACCGGATTCTATGGTGGGTAATTGAACGTAGTGAATATAGAGGATTTGAGATTTTGACATGAAATGAACAAATCGGAAAAAGAACCATCCAAGGTACTTGCATATCAAATTTGAAAACATTGGCAGAATCGATTAATGCCTATAGTTCAAAATAGTCATTTTGACTGACCGGAGTTTATGTGAAAAGGCGGGTTTGGAGAACCCTCTGCCTAATTTTGGTGAATATTTTTGGTAAAAAGTGATATTTTTGACTTCTTGTTACTTTGATATTAAATATATAGGTACTATATGTGGACCTCTCTCAGATTGGTACATTTGGTGATGATATCTTCAATTCTCTAATTTTGATGAATTATTATTTTTGGAAAAACATTACATTTTCGACTTCTTGTTGAATACCGCAAGTTCAATTGCTTTGATATTACATATATAGGTACTACATGTGAACCTCTCTCAGATTTGTTTATTTCATGATGATATGTTTAATTCTCTAATTTTAATGAATATTTTTTGTCATTTTTAGCTCCGCTGTCGATGAAGTCGCCACAGCGGAGCTGTTCATATTACTGATTGTCCGTCGTTCATCGTCGGCGTCAACTTTACAATTTCAAATTCTTCTTCGAAACCGTCAGAATGTTTTAAAGGTTGATATGCAAGTACCTTGAATGGTTCTCTCTCAGATTTGTTCATTTCATGTCAAAATCTGTTTTTTTGCTGAATATTTTTGTGATTTTTGGTCAAAATTGATATTTTTGACTTCTTGTTTGAAACCGTAATTCTGAATGCTTTCTAATTTGGTATGTAGACACTTTTGGTGGATCTCTCTCAGATTTGTTCATTTTGTGATAATATCTTTAATTCTCTAATTTTGATGAATATTTTTGTAATTTTTATAAAAAAAAGTGATATTTTCGACTTCTTGTTGAAAACCGCAAGTCCTATTGCTTTGATATTACATATATAGGTACTACATGTGGACCTCTCTCAGATGTGTTCATTTCGTGATGATATCTTCAATTATCGAATCTAAAAGTGATATTTTCAAATTCTTGTTGAAAACAGCAAGTCAGTTTGCTTTGATACTATACTGTATACATATTGTTCCTTTTCTAATGATATCTTCTGTTCTTTAATTGAAATGTGCATTGCTAACAGTGGAGCTATCTCAGCTGACAGGCTGCCCTTTTACAATTTCTTATTCTTCCCCGTTCAGACGCAGTCCGAAAACGGGGACTTTGTTTTGACCTCCGTGCGTCCGTGAGTGCATCTTAGAAATGCCTGGACCAATCACAATCAAACTTCACACATACATCATACATGAAATTATACATATGCACATCAATTTGTTCCATGACCTGATTCAAGATGGCCGAATGGCGGCCATTTTTGTTCTAAAAATCATCAAAATCAAGCATTTCTCGGTTGTTTACAGATGGATTTTGTTCAAACTTGGTATATACATTGACTGGCGGCCATTTTGTTTTAATAAATGTGGTTCTAGTGCCATATCTCTCTGACTTGCTGTGACTGATTATGTTAAAATTTTAAATATTCATTATATATCATGTCATAGATATACAGATATATTAGTTTGGCAATCCTATTAAAAATGGCTGAATGATGGCCATTTTTGTGCTAAAAAATCATGAAAATCAAGCATTTCTCAACTGTTTACTGATGGATTTTGTTCAAACTTCGTAGATACGTTGGATATTATAGGACCTTGATGCACATCATTTTGTTTTTCAAATAAGATTCAAAATGGCCAACTGGCAGCCAGTTTGTTTTAATAAATGTGATTCTAGTGCCATATCACTCTGACTTGCTGTGACTGATTATGTTAAAATTTTAAATATTCATTATACATCATGTCATAGAGATACAGATATATTGGTTTTACCATCCTATTCAAAATGGCCGAATGGTGGTCATTTTTGTGCTAAAAAATCATCATAATCAAGCATTTATCGACTGTTTACTGATGGATTTTGTTCAAACTTGGTATATACGTTGGACATTATAGGACCTTGATGCACATCATTTTGTTTTTCAAATGAGATTCAAACTGGCCGACTGGCGGCCATTTTGTTTTAATAAATGTGGTTCTAGTGCCACATCTCTCTGACTGGCTTTGACTGAATATGTTCAAATTTTAAATATACATTATACATCATAGATATACAGATATATTGGTTTGACGATCCTATTAAAAAAGGGCCGAATGGTAGCCATTTTTGTGCTAAAATATCATCAAATATCAAGCATTTATGGATGAATTTTGTTCAAACTTGATACATACATTAGACATAAAGAGTTCCTGATGCACGTTATTTTATTTTTTAGATCAGATTCAGAATGGCTGACTAGTGGCCATTTTGTTTTAATGAATTGGCTTCTAGAACCTTATCTCTGACATGCTTTGACTGACTATGTTCAAATTTTATATATTCATTATACATGTATTCAAAATGGCTGATTTTGTTTTAATTAATGCTGTTCCAGAGCAATATCTCCCCATATTCGTTTGACGATCAGAAACAAATTTTAATCATAATCATATTCCTGACATGTTTATATTCCAGCTATATTACTATAAACAAAACTATGTATCTTAAATTTGATAACTAATGGGGACTGTGCCATGCATGGCTTGTTTCCAAGATTTCTTTAATTAATCCTTTTCCTTCTAATTCTATGTACTTTTACACTGTCTTAAACAGAAAAAGGTTTTTTATGGCATGTTTCATACATCTGATTTACCCAATACTTTCAGGTAAATGTGGTGTTTCCTGTGTTGCCAAGGAGAGCTTACACTAGTTTCAGTGTTTATATATTTTCTTTTACAGGAGAAAATTTGCACTGTGGCAGATATACTGGATGAAAAGAGCCCGTTACGTGTTGGTAGAACTGTGCAACATCTCATGACTAAAACATATAAACAAACATCTGCTGTATGATACAGGCCAGTATGCTGACTGAGCTGGCCAGGACTATGCTGACTGTGCTGAGCAGGACTACACTGCCTGAGCTAGGGAGAACTATACCGACTGCTGGGCAGGACTGCGCTGACTGAGCTGGGCAGGACTACGCTGACTGAGCTGGGCAGGACTGCGCTGACTGAGCTGGGCAGAACTACGCTGACTGAGCTGGGCAGGACTACGCTGACTGAGCTGGGCTCACATCACATAATAAATTGCCTTGTTGCCAATTTTTGATGGTCAGCAATATACTTTACCCAGTATGCATTGCAGATGGAAGTGATTTGAACACTGGAAATATTGACTGTTGTAAGCTGCTTTTAAAGTGATGAACTTCATTTTTTCATTATTTATTTACCAAACACATTTGTATATGTCCAATTTATTGAATACACAATAGAAAATAATTAGTATGCAATAGTCACCCAGGGTGGTGAATGTGCATAATTTTGAATGCATTGTGGTTTGTATTAAACATATATTCAGCCTGACAACACATGTTGGCTATGCCAGACTTTTTGAATACACGTCTGTGTTTTCTATTCACTGAGATTCAGTTATGCTCCTTTTTTTTATTAGTTCCACTGTTAATGCTAGCTCAATGTTCATTGTCTGTCCACAAACATATAATTGACTTTTTTGAAAACAACAATCTGAATGAATTTAATTGAAGGTATACATCTTGAAAAGACCACTATCATATTTGTTCATTTCTCCTGTTTACATGGGAGACACAGCTGTTATTCATATCACAGATTGTTTTCTTCACTATTGCGAGATTTTTTGCTTTCACACTTGCTGCCACTTTCCCAGATTTGGTCTTCTCATGACAATTTCTCCAATATGCCTAAAATACTAAAACCAATTTTCTGTACTTACAGTATTGTGTTGCATGTCACCATTTAAACAATCGTTGAAAACATGGACTGGATCAAATCAAACTTTACACATACAAGGGGTGATCAATAAGTTTTCGGCCTTCCTCATAAAATGTTACAGAGGTAGATTTTGTTTACACTATTTGTCAACATAGTCTCAGTCTCCTCTAAGTTCAATGCACTTTGACCATCGATGTTCCAGTTTTCCTATTCCCTGCTGGAAGAAGATTTTATCTTGATTCTTTAGATATACCTCAACAGCTTAGATGACATCTGGCACCTGTGCTGCGTGGACAGGTGCATTGTCCTGGAGCAACAGCACACCAGCTCGAAGCTTTTCTCTCTTTTTCTCTTTGATTGCTGCTCTTAACTGTCGCACTTCTGAAGCATAGTACTCTCCATCGATTGTTTGACCATTTTGCAGGTAGACTCCCTTGCTGTTCCAGAACACAGAGGCCATCACCTTGCTGACTGATGCCACTTGCAAAAACGTCTTAGGCGACTGTGAACCTTTGTGTGTCCATTGTTTGCTCTGCTCTTTTGATTCTGGATAAAAGTGGTGAACTCATGTTTCATCTTGGGTCACAAATCTCTGGAGGAAGTTGCCAGGATTTGACTGGAAACAAGCCAAAAGTGTCCTTGAAACGTCCAACCTGTTCAACTTCTGATGTGGAGTCAACATTCGGGGCACCCACCTTACAGACAGCTCGCTCATCCCTAAGATGTTTTACAGAACATTTTGAACTGCACCATAAGTGATGCCTAGTGAATGCCTGATATGTCGGATAGTGATTCATTACCATTCGATGGATGGTCTCAACCTGATTGTCCGTGGTGGCAGATTTTGGGCGCCTAGACCTTGAGTTATCTTGTGTGCTCTCCTTGCCTCGCTTAAAGTTAGCAACCCACTTTTTTACAGTGCAATAAGAATGGGAGTCCTCTCCAAGTGTCGTGACCATGTCTATGTGGATTTCTTTGGGAGTCATCCACTTTTTATAGAGATACTTGATCACAGCATGAGCTTCTGTCTGGTCTATTTTGTACTTTTCGTCTCGCCTGTTGATTTTAAATGGGCACCACATGCTAATTAATGAATACCTAAATTTGCATTTCTATAAGTACCGATAGTGACCCTGAAATGAGTTCTACCCCTTGTTTCATAGTGAGGTCGAGAACTTATTGATAACCCTCCTACATTATATCATCATTCCATGTCACTCAAAATAGCTGACTGATTTTACATCCCTTTGTTTTTGCACAATGAGGACTGTGTCATGTCAGTGTCTTATTTTGTTTAAATGCCCTTATGTTAATTTCAACGTAAAACAAAGACATATTGAAAGCTCACATTTACAACACGAACAATACAGATTATTTCCTTCTAATGGTTCTCAAATACTATAATGTGCACACTTTTGTATGTGTATATTAAAAAAGGTGTCTTGAATAGAAGCACACATGTATTTTATGCCAGATCATCAAAATGACTTGTATACGTAACAAATAAGTACATTTATTATAACTGTGTGTATTATAATCATGGGTACACCAGTCACCATAGGGCAAATACAGTAATGCCAGGAGACTAAGTAACTAAGGTTCTATGTAGAAACTAATTGTTTATTTATGTTTATGGTTGACTGATTACATAGCTATGATGTAATGTTCCATGAAATCTTTATTCACAATGCTTAGTTGAATGCTTTATTAATATCATAGCTATACTACCTGTACTGTAAACATACTTATTATACTTGGAGTGTATTTTGACTTTTCCACTAGAGTACAAACTCACTGCCATTAACCATCACTCATACATTTGCTTTCATCTACTTGATGTTTGAATTGACATATTTATTTTTCACATTTGTTTTAGTTGTAAGCCTTTATTTCCAATAACTGAACTTTTACTGTCTTCTGACTAGGGATCCTTGAATACACTATTTGAATGAATTTACAGAATGTGTTGAAAGTGTCTTTTTACTATTGTCTCTTCTTTTGTTACATGTGCACCAGTTGTATTCTGTCATATTATGTGTGGGTCTCTGGAATGGAGATTGTGGCCTTATGCCATTGTGTGCCTCTTTCCAATTGAATCTGCGGCTTACTTGTCCCAGAGTGCGTGACTTCCTAATGTGGCTGTGGCATAATTATCTTGAAGTGTGGGTCTCCCCAATTGATTATGTGGCTTGCTTATTCGAATTGAGTCTGTGGAACATTTTTTCCATGGTGTGGCTCTCCACAATGGAGTCTGTAGTACACTTATCCCAGAGTGTGCGTCTTCCTGATTGAATTTATGGCATATTTATCCCAGAATGTGGGTCTCCTTAAATATGTCTGTGGCACACTTATGCCAGAGAGAAGATCTACCGGTACCTACAGGAGTCTGTGGCACACTTATCCCAGAATGTGGGTATCCCCATAAGAGTCTGTGGCACATTGTATCTAATAGGCTTGTCAATATGTGTCTGAGATTGACACACTACCTGAAGACTTTCAATATTTAATTTAAACAATGCTCTCAACTGTAAAAAAAAAACTAATGCATGCATTTTTAGGAAGTTTTATTACTATCTGCTACTGTATGAAATGCATTGAAATGCCTGTAAATACTGTATGCTTATAATAAAATATAACATGTACTTTATCATGTAGTTCAGGTGGTCATTTCGTGTTGCAGGTTACTCAGCTTTTGTGTAGTCATCTGTTGTTTTTGACTCCTGTATGCGAAGCACACAATGGGAGTCTTTGCCGTTGGTACATCTGTATGTATGTATGTATGTATGTGTGCGTGTCCGTTCCACTGATATCTCAAGAACACATGTTGGTTTTTGATGAAACTGATGCTCTGGGTTAACGTGCAGATTTGATTAAGTTTTGGTTGAAATCCATCCATATTAATTACCTAATTTACATGATAATTGACTAATTGACTCCCGTGTGCGAAGCACAAAAGGGAGTCTTTGCAGTTACCCTGTCTGTATGTATGTATGTATGTATGTATGTCACTTTTTTTGTTCCACCGTTATCTCAAGAACCACTAATCAAATTTTGATGAAACTTGGCACATGGATGCTCTGAACTAGTGCGCAGATTTGATTAGTTTTGGGTAAAAATCTATGAATATTAATTATCTAATTTGAATGATAATTTGATTTCAAGCTGTTCCATGACTGTTCCACTGATATTTGAAGAACCACTCATTGGATTTCAATGAAACTTGGCACATGGATGCTCTGAACTAATGCGCAGATTTGATTAATTTTGGGTAAAAATCTGTTAATATTATTAAATACTAATTTACATAATGATTAATAAATTTTTGGCTTTTCCACTGATATCTCAAGTACTAATCATAACATTTCAATAAAACTTGGTACATAGATGTTATATGACACTGCACAGACCTGGTAGTGTTTAGGGTAATATCAGTACATATTAATTACCTAATTTGCATAATTAATTAATTTTCAGCTTTTGATATTTCGAGTAGTAATGATCACATTTCAATGAAACTTGGTACATAGTTACTTG